GCTTTGTTGGACGGGGTGGGGGGGGGGGGGGGGGGGGCGAGTCATGAAACGTTTGAGCGAGCTCGTACGTCTGCCATTGAGCCAACTAACTGCAAATGGAAAACGTGTTAACTGCAAATTGAATGTCGCCTAACAGGTGTCCAGTGTGGGGGTGCGCGTCGCCTTCCTCTCGGGGTGGGGGTAAACATACGGATGCCCACGGGAGAAACATCTTTCTTCCTCATTTTGAGACCACGAAAAGTCGTTTCCGTATGTGTGTGTGTGTGTGTGTGTGTGTGTGTGTGTGTGTGTGTGTGTGTGTGTGTGTGTGTGTGTGTGTGTGTGTGTGTGTGTGTGTGACAGATGCGGAGACTGTCGCCCGTTTATTTTTTTTTTGTTGTAGGTCCTCTCTTTTGTCCAAAATCTCAAATCCCTGCTGGGCTCACACAATCAAACGCACAGACTGCGCGATGCGCGAGGAAGAACACAAGCCAATAAAACAAGATCAGATCATTAGCGAGCAGACAATCACAAACGCGCGAGCCGGCTGGACATCTCGGACTCTTATTAAGGCTGTCACCAAATGAGCAAGGTTGGATTTCACGCCAAGAGAAGAACAAATTAGCTGGGAAAGGAGGCGGGCCTTTATTGCGGAGACTCCGTTTGCCGTCCTCTTTTATCCAATCTAATTAGATATGTCTGAAAACAAAAAAAAATGTAGCGGTAGTTCTAGCTCAAGATAAAAAGGACGCTCCACGTCAAACGCCGACGCGAGCAAAATCTTGCGGCTATAACCGTACCCGACCCCAACGCTGCACCTTGACCCAAAGCCCAGAGCGCACCCAAAGCCGCGAACTCTGAACGATAATCGACGAAACGGACTCGAGTGGGCCTTAATTGGCAAAGAACGAAAGCAAGGAAGGTTTCTGAAAATGTAAATCACTCAAACAGGCCCTGTTTTGTAACGCCCTCTTACAGGAACTGGAAATCGGAATCCCGTATATTTCTATTCCATATGGTTCATTTCTGATGTCACAGCGGGCCGGGATCTCGCCGCCATTTCACATCTGGAAAGGTTTTTTTTTTTTTTGGTTAACGTTGAATAACAAAAGAAGAGCGGGAACCTGCATTGTCTCCCCCGATGGAACGGAGACGGCATACCGATGAGCGGTCGAGTGAAGCAGCGGGAAAGAAGAAGAATCACGGATGACGTTGAATGATCTGAGGTGGGAGAAGAGGAGGAAGTCACGTGACGGGGGCGCTCGGAAGGGAATAGAGGCGGCCGCGATGACATCTGCTGAGTGTATTGAAACAAAAGCAATTGGTTTTTTTCCCCCCCCCCAGGTCGAAAAGCTCCGTTTCTGCTGCGGGCTGGGCGGAAATCAAAAGCGGACGTCGCATCGATTCCTCCGAGTACCTTTAGCTCAGAGCACCCGTGTGTCTGTTACGTCGCCGAGTGACTTCATTACGTAAGGATGTGAAAAGGTGTTGCGTCATCACCGGGGAGCGTTTCCTCTGACAGGAAATAACCTTTTGAAAAAGGCATTTTTTTTTTTTGGGTTGTTTTTTTTTTTATTTTTATTTTTTTTTTTTGCGATGCGGCGCAATTACCACCCTGCTTGGTGATTATCGTTGCGTTGTTTTATGTTTATGGCCTGGTTGCTTTTCAGAGAAATATTAGGGACGGAACTCTTGTCGTAAAAAGCAAACGACCCACTCGCTGTATTTGGACTCGGGAGAGAGAGAGGGGGGGGGGGGGGGGAAAGTCAAGTCAAAAATAATTTTCTTCAACCAGCGAGGCGGGCAATTCTATTCTTCCTAATCACAAACCAAAAGTTTTCAGCCCGCGTTGCCTTCAGCACTACATCACCAAACACAAGCGGGAAATGTTTTAATTCCCTGCAGAGGAACATTAAAAAGGCCCAACTATCAGATTTCCTCACTGGCTCGTCCGGCCGAGACTCGCGATTGCTGCGGGTCGAGGTTAATTTACGGGCATTCGAGGCTGCCCGGCGCAAAACCGACATTGCTGCTGCCACGCTCGGTGAGGGGCGGGCTGATAAAACCGGATTGAATACGTCCTGCCGTATTACGACAGAAGAGCGTTCACAAGAAAAAAAATAAATATATAATAGTCATACCATGGCACTCCGGACTCTAACGTCGCCGCTTCTGCGGAGATTTGCAGGCCGACAAGACATCATTTCAGATTCTTGGTTGGCGTCGGGGCTTCTGGAAAGCGTCACAACGGCCGACGGACCGAGCGCAGGCGTAAAGGGAGACGTTTACAGAAGGCGCCTGCACAAAGACGTTTGTTTGCCGCGGCGCTTCGGGTCAGAGACCTTATTTGGCCCGGGAGTTATCGAGGCGTAAATATTGAGACGTGGGGATGATGAAGACGAGGGAACGGGACGGGGCGAGCGAGCGCAGATTCCCAATAAATCGGTTTTGCAAGCCAAGAACACTAATGAGGTCAACGTTGACTGTCTGTCTTTCAATCATTACCCCCCCCCCTCAAAAAAATGCAGTAGGAGGTTCTGTATTAATTCCAAGACACAAAAGGAAACCGTGACAAAACAAAGCAACTCCAGCCAACTTAATCTGTGTGCTGTTTCTGTCGATATGATCGGCAATCGATATTGACAGGCCATCAGCCTTGCGGAAGTGACATTCTGCTCTGCCGACGACTTTCTACTTCCTCGACCGTCTGTAATATTCACGCTAGAACAGCTGCCGAGGCTCCAAGCTCAAGCGCGACTAAATCAAGCAACTCGATTCCCGTCGCCGAATACGAGCGCGCCAACGCAGGCGACGATCCGATCAACGCACGCGAATTGCAATCGTTCGCGGCAACTTGGCAAGCCTGGTGTCAAACGTTGCCCTCGACGGAGCTCGATGGAGCTCTGCGTCACCAGCCCGCCGCCTTCATCTTTGCGAGGTAAAACTGGGCCAAAGGAGGAAACCGCAAAAATGGCTCTTTGACGAAGGGATTCGATCATTATTTTGGGGACCCACAAGTCGGGGTTCTTTCTCGGATGACGTGATCGTCGTGAAGCGGCAAATTACATAACACGCCTCTGCCAATCGGCCCGCCACTCTGACATCATGTGTTGACTTTCCAGCGAGCACAGCTGGATCTCGTGTCAACATTCTCAGGGAACCAAAAAAAAAAAATAAAAATCCCAAACCAGCTTCGGGTCAAAGCAGCTTTGAGCTTCACTGCCGCACAATTCGGAGCCCCCTCGATTCCAACGTCACCTTTACACCCGAGACCCCTGCCTGCCTTGAGGAGGTCCCATCAGAGCATAGGGGGCGGGGTCACATTGACGTTTAGCAGCCGGCCCCCCAAAACAGGTCCGCCGTACCAAAAATGTATGAAATAATGAAAGACTCATTTTCCTCACACACGATGCAAAAAAAACAAAACAAAACCCCCCCACTGATTTATGCCAGCCCCCACGCACGACTTTCACCAGCGTCAGAAATACCAAATGCAGCGTCAAATCAGTCGTGAAACGGCCAATCAGTGGTCGCTCGCAACTCTTTTGTGGATGCGGGGGCCGGAGAGCGCAGCCACACAATACACTTTGATGACTGCTTTTTGTTTTTTCCACTGGGCCACCGACGATTTGAGTAGGCTGCTTACTAGAAAATTCCAGATCTTACTCTTACTTCTCTTAATTTCTCCTCCAACTGCAATTTCACATCTCGTTAACACGTCATTAAAAAAAAAAAAAAAAAAAAAAAATTAACAACCCAAATAAAATTTTAGCTACTGAGCAGTTACGGTGCAGTAGATCAAAAGAACTGTTCCCCCCCCCCCCCCTTGGTCAAACCACACGTTCACCCGGAATTGCATTTAAATGTTTGAGAATTAATTTGCATGTCCTTGGCAAACAAATAAAAGATGGATTTATTCCAACAAGACATTCAAACAGGATGCATAGATTTTCTAACTGATCTCGTAAACTTCACAAATACCTTGAGGGTATTGTCACGAAAGCGCGTCACAAAAAATGTTCGGGAGACAGCTGGGAACGGTTTTAAATATGGAAAATGGAAAACGGTTTACCGCAGTTTTAAATTTCACATTTTACACATCACTTCAAAATGTTGGGCAAAGGGCTGACAGTTTTTTTTTTTTTTTTTGAGGGGCCGGGGGGGGGCGATATCCTTTTTAAGGCTTTTTAAAAAAAACTGGACAGTGGCCGTTGCCATCGCGACTCACCCCACAGCCGCCTCTCCCTCACACTCCTCCAGAAGACGTCCCAAGCCCTGTTGGTGGAAACTTTGACATGCTCGCTGAAAGACCTCCGCAGCGGCGTTTTCACCGCCATACTGGAATTAATCAATTAAATAGTCCCGGCGGAAAAAGTGCAGCGGTGAGTATCGGGAGCCATGTGGGCAGCGTTTGCTATGTCACGACTCATGCTGAGGCTGACTTGGACTGAGCTCGAGGAGGAGGAGCGAGGGGGGCCTGACACTTGATGCAAAAAGTCTGCATGTAATTTGTGAAACACCCCCCGGTACTCCATGGCCCCCTTAGGCCCTCTCCACCTAAAAGGTGTTTAGAAAAAATATGCGCAAAATGTTACCGATATTTGGGTTGGGGAATAGTTGCCTCGAACGTTCATTCAATTTTGAGTTTTAGGCCTCAGCTCAGCAAAGGAGAAAGTGAGTTGGTGCATTTTGCTTTTGACTTTTTTGGGACGAAACCCTCCTGCAGTTACTTCTTGTGGCAATCAAAACAGGTACTGTATTGTACTGTATTTCATTGGCAGTGAAAAAACCCCACATTTTTTGTACACATTGTCTGTGCTTTTTGACTTTTACTCAAATACATGAGTTTGATCAGAAAATGTACTTTTACTAGAGTACCAGAGTACTCTACTGCTACGTAAGCAAAGAGAGCGAGTACTTTTGCCAACTCTTCTTTGGTCATCTCAAGAGTTTCCCTGCGGAAGATCTGCCAATGCAATATGAATCATGCATAATGCATATGGGTAGCGCTCTTTTTACATTTTTGCAGAGGTGCAAATCTAGAGGCCGCTCACAAAGCCAGCCACATTTTTTTTTTTTTTTTACAATTTGAAAATGAAGGAAAGAATCTGAATTGATTTTTGCCTTTGCAATGAAGAGCGCACAAATGGCCGCATCATCGTTTCCATCACTCTGCTACACTTAAGGAAAAGGGAAAAAAAAAGCACCTCACAGATACTTAAAAGATGCTATTATTCCTCAAGGATGATCCCATTAGTGAGCACAATTTTAAGCTTACCTCATGTCCTTTTGCATTTGTGAGTCAGCTTTATTCCCCATCTTGGTCATGCACCTTTAAGCACCACACACACACAAAAAATGAGAGTCTCAATGCAAAAAAAAAAACCCCTCAACTTATAAGTCATTCCAGGACAATCTAAGCACCAACTTGTTTGGAAAAACGGACCATTTATTTACGATTCTTTGGTGATATTTTGGGGAAGAAAAACAAGCAATAGGCCATCACATGCTTTTGATTTGTCCAGCTCGACCATTCACAGTATACTTTTATAGGTGGCATTTTATTTGTCCTGTGGTGTGCTTGGCTCAACCCTGTTGCAGATGCTTAGGCACCACAAAAACACGTATTTAGTAACACTGCAAAACGCATTCTTTTTTACACCGACTGAGTAGCATCGAGCTAATACTGTAGCCTCGTAAACCTTTGCAAAAGTCACGTCGTGGGACGTGACTATACATTGCCCTCGTGGCGTCAAAATTATCCTACAAGGGTCTTACCTTTGGTTGTTGGTGATCCATGCTTACTGCTTTGCTGACGTCGATATAGATTAAAAAAAAAAAAAAAAAACCCTATTTCACTCCCTAATGGTTCACGTTAGCTACCGGTTTTGCTAGCCACAGGTGTTAGCCACTCGCTGCTAATTGCGAGCTTTTTCTTCGCCTTTGATTGAATAATAACAATAATAATAATCGATACTTCGGTAATTGTAAATAATTATAAATTATATTTAAATACAAGTTCTATAGCAACATATGCAGGCAGGGCATCGGCAGAATAGTCCCATTAAGCAATTGTAGTTGCGTCACAATGTATGGTAGTTCAAGTTTGACTTTCACCGCATTGAAGTCACTGCTAGCGCTTTCCAGGCGCTTCTTACTTTGTTCCTACCACGAGAGGAAAAACGTATGACAGAAAAGTTTATCCCATTTACTCGCGATATGACGCGACCGCCGTGTTGACTTGTAACTCTTGTTCCACTTAGACCCGTGCAAACAAAAGGAGGCTCAGATTCGAGCTATTCGAGCGTGTCTTCCCACAAAAGACGAGCGAAGACAGTAGGTGGAGAAGTTCGGGCGGCTCTGACAGTGAACTCAACTTGAACCCGTTCATCCACTGAGCTGCAGCATCGGCATCAAAAAGAGGATTTTTTTTTCTGACTCTCCAAAATTAGAAGCCTCAAAGCAAAAGTCACTGCTTGTTTTCGGTATTATTAATATCATTATTGTGGTTATTATGATTAATATTATTCCCACAGCTTTTATAGTCCACTTTCTCCAAACCCTGATGAAACATTCAGCGTCATGAATGTCTTCACTGCCTTTTGACAGGAAGTAGCTTCCCCCCTGCTCTCTTCCGGTGAAGGCAGACTGATGGAAGTCAGCGGATTTGTTTATCCTTCAAACGAGAGCTCAATTAGTTACATCCCTAGGAGTTTTTTTTTCACCCCCCGTTTTACCAGAGCAAAGCATGTAATTAAATTGCACTCGACGGCACGCAACACGCCGCCTTGGCCTCAAATCCTCTTCGCTGCATGCGAGGATGGATAAAACAGCGAGCGGAGAAACCAAGTTAATTCCGAACACGCCTACGGCATATTTGCATCGAGTGTGGCTAATGCATAGGATGCACGGGATTGCAATCTCAACGACGAGGCTTATGTAGAACTAAATGATCGTGACGTGTACTGCACCCCGCATTGATCAAGAGTAACACTTAAACATTCTTATACTGGAAAAACAAACACTACTGGTATTTTTATAGTCACACATTAGTTGCCATTACTACCATTTATGGGCTCCATTTCTTCTTCTGTCTTTTGATGGTCGCCAAATACTTTTGGTACATTACTGCCACTCTCTGGCCACTGGCGGCAATGCATTTTTTTTTTTTTTTTTTTTGCCAACCGCCAAAAGGAATTCCACAAAATTAGGGAACAGGGATTTTGGGTGACAGTCCGAACTCTAATTTTAATGTTTGAAAAATGTGCGCTTTGTAGTCCGAAAAATATGGTGTCTGTCTGTCTATCGACAGTCTTTCTTTTTAAGTTTTCTCGTCACTTTGGGACTTGTATTTCTCAAATCATCCTCGACGTTTGCACGTGCCTTTCCACACGTCGACATTGTAGCCTGACATTATTAGAACATCCGCAGCTCTGCTTACCTTTCGGCTTCGGCGGTGGTTACGATGTCAATAAGCTTCACTACTCGAAAACAGTGGTGTGCAAGTGTCGAACAGCTCGCTCGGAGACACATTTGCCAAGATAGACCGCTCGCTGCAGTCAGAGCAGCAGATCCTCACCCGCAATCACACTCGCTAATGATTTTCCTGCTTGTTTGATTTCACACTCGATGCGTGGGCAGACGCTCCAGTCGTGCAACTATTTGTATACAAGACATTAAAAAGTCAATTTCCCTTCATATGACCCCTTTCAAAGCGGTTCCAACGCCTGCAATACTTTGCGCTGTTTTGGTGCGCACGCACACTTTTCAAGGACAGCCGACGAAACTCGCTTGCAGCAGCAAAGCAGCTGACAGCTCTTGGTGAGATGCCATTTCGGCGGGGGGTGCGAAAGGGCCGACGGGTGGTGTGCGAGCCGATGGGTCGGAGTGATGTCACCGCGTCTACCTTTCATACCTCCCTCACACTATGTCAAGTCAAATCGGCTGTACGCGTCAGTGGAGGGGAAACGGGAGCACGCAGCAAAGCGTGCAATGGTCAGAGCAAAAGAAAAAGCCGTCCGACACTCATCTTCGGTCTCCTTGCAGAGGAAAACGGTTCATCCCAAACGTTACGGTTCAGTAAGTCATTCGCGAAGCAACCGGTTATGTTTGTCATTTATTTTTTTTTGCGATGCTGCCACAGAAGGGTGCCAGAGACGGCAAAGGAGAAAAATGTGTACACGGAATAAAAAGTCCATGAAAAACACATGAAACCTTGTGGATTTAAAACAATCACATACGTTATCCTAACCCTTTAAGCCAGCTAATTTAATGCTAACGCTAAAGCGCATCTAAGTCGCAGTAACTTCAAACAATGGACTGAACGCAACATTGCAGCAACGCACGTCAATTCATGATATAATAGAACTCAAAAGTCATACGGTATATTATTGATCCTCTGCGTAGAACGACTAACATTAGTGCCGCACCAATGAGATGAGAGAGGAGTGAAGATGTCTCAATGAACGCTGTCTGTCCGTCGTTTGCTGCCCCCAAGTGCCATTAATTTAAATTGAAATCTACTTCATTCTGTCATGACTGTGACTTTTTATTAAGTACAATATTATGGAGTGCTCGGGTCCGTCAGAGAAGTACACAGAACGATTTTGGGTGTTTGTTTTGTGGGGCGGGGGGGACTGTAACCGACTAATGGCATTTCTAAGACACCGCTGTAAAAAAAGAAGGCCTGGTGTCTGAATACTGTTGTCCACGTGGGGGTTACCGACGACCGCCGCATCACAACACCCCCTCACCGCTCCCCTCCCTTGTTTTTGCCGCATGACCTCAGGACAGCAGTCCGAGCGAGAGAGAAAACGACTGCGAGGGGACCCCGCCGAGACCATCAGGAAACAGAACGAGTCTCGAGATGGCCGTTGCTGGCTCCTTAAAAAACCCGACTCCCATCCATCCATCCACGGGTGTAAACATCCCCTGCCCGCCGCATCACGTTTTATTTATGACGCCTTCGCCCGGTGCCCCCTTCTGTTCAAACCGCAACTCCCCCCTTATTCCTCCGGCCCTCATCCATATATGAGCCGCCGCCGCCGCCGCGTGGTCCTGACGGGTAAACTCCCCGGACGCCCGTTTGGCTCCTTCGGCGGCCGTTAATCCCACGCCTTGCCCGTGAAAGAGAAAGACTCGGCATGGAAGCTATTAGGGAGGGAAGGAAAAGTGCACGAAACACAAGGAAGAAAGAAGTAGTGCCGGGACACTTGGCGTGTCGACATCCAGAATGAATTTGTGAATGGCGTCTGAGCAACCGCAGCTGTGCCGACTCTCAGCCGAAGTTTGCGTTGGAGGGAATCATCGCGGCCCCGAGTACGCAAACAAAAGAGACAAAGAGACCTCGGAAAGGAGAAGAAAATAAAATCATAAACGCACTCGGAGGAGGCAACAGCCCGCGGGCGTTGGCAGATGGCGTAAAAGTCGATGGAGGCCGCATCCCAAAAAAACAAACAAACAAAAAAACCCTCACACACCTTCTCATTGTCTTTGATGTCCCTTCTAAGGAACTCGGGGTGACAAACTGCAGCGACGACACGTTTTTCTTTCCATCTGAGGAGTAACGGAAGACCATCTCATCCGTTTATCCTGAAGGTTTGCAGGTGACCAAAGCATGATCCACACAATATTTGGCGAGAGAAGTGGGGTATTAAAGATGGCTTTTGGTGAGAGGAATAGGTTACCCTGATGGGTTTTTTTTTTGGTGGGGTGAGAGAAGCGGGGTAGGCCATCCATTTTTTAGCAGCCTCAGGGTTGCTGTTAACTGATGTCCAGTCCAGCCAATATGTGGCGAGAAAAGCAGCGTGTCGCAGGACACAGCAGCCAGTCGCAGGGTGCAAAATATTGGGGGCGGAGCTTGGAAGTTAACATTTCACTCCGAAAGGTTGACTTTTGATTGACACAATCAGGGAGGCGCGCTTGTGCAGCCGGCGGCGTCTTCATTAGCTGGCGGCGGCGGCGGCGGCGGCGGCGGCGGCGTGGCGCCTTTCAATGACTCGTAATGAGCCGACGCTCGTCTCGCTGCTTCTCGCTTACACACGCTTCCTTCTCGACGCCACACTTTTAACGCGTTACCGATGGGGGGGGGGGGGCTGTTTGTGCGCTTTGACGCCTGCCATCCACTTTGTATTCGTCAATAGCGATTTGTAAGATGACGAGAAAAAACGATTTTGCAATTTTTGTTGCCAACCAACACGTTCTCATTTTACAAAATAAAAGCCTGTAACCCTCATCCGGTTCAGTGTACTGTAGAACCAAACATAAAACAAAGGCTTTGTGTGTTTAACCGAAACTCGTAACTGAGCAAAGTCTGCTAGCTTAATGCTAACGCACAATGCGAAACACAACAGACAGACAAAGCAAACGAACATCCCTCTTGTGGCATTCATTAACGGCGACGAGAACACAAACAGCAAGAACACGCGCAGATAAGTCAAGGTGACAATCATGACAGGCATATATTCTTTATCCCTGACCAGAAACAACAAATACTGCCGCAGCGGTCACTTATTTCCAGTCTGACTGTCGTCTTTGTGCAAAAATATGATTTCACTTGGATAATAGTTTAATAGCTTTTTTTTTTCCCCTCATGACACTCCAAGTCCATTCTTCTCCGTCCTTAAATCGTGAGCGTGACAGAAAATAATTTGGAGCTGGCGTGCAGGCGGGGGAAGCCGAGGAAGGACGAGCTCAACGCCGCTTCATAAGCCCGGCGGAAATTGCTCTTCCTGTTGCGTGCTCGCCCGCTGGCCGAATTTAAGAGCAACATTTCGTCAATTAGTCTGCGCCTGATTATCCGGCCAACGTCGGTGAGTTCGCGGCAGCTGCGTATTACTCAGATCTTATCGTACCGCAACGCGCATCGTTCTCCTCTCGAGCCACCGAACCGCCAGCACAAGACAAGGTGCAAAAAAAAAAAAAAAAAAAAAAAGGCGAAGCGAACGCCCTCGTGAACTGCATTCCCTGCATCTGCAGGTACAATGTTGCCCCTCTTGCAAGATTTTGGAAAACACAGTCAACTTTCGGTGTTGATCTCAAGCAAAAGTCAGCAAGGGTTGACGCTCAAAGTTGTTTTTGCGGATCTCCGCGCCTCATTAGCTTCCTTCCCGTTTAGGCCCATGAGGTGTTGTCGAGCTCGTCGATTTTTCCCTCTTTTGAGCTGCCGAACCTTTTTGATGGGTGTGGGGGGAGGTGGGGGTGAGGGCGACAAGATTCGCTGAAGCACAAGTTTCAAGAAGCAGGCGTGTGATTTGCTTGCTAATTGTGAGCGACTCTGCTACGGGGAAAAAAAAAATAACAGATTGGGATTGACTTCAGGGGGAGGAATAACTTTCACGCACTCGCAGTTTTTGAACACTTACTTCAAGAGGTCATGGGGGTCAATCGACCATATCAGCTCGAAGCATTACGCCAGTAAAGGTGCAAAGGTGTCGAGTCGGGCTCGCGTTTGCGGCACGGCCATGAGATCGTGCCGACACGTTTTTATTGTTTTATTTATTTTTTAGCATTTGTTTGAAGGACAATCCGGAGGACAATTTTAGAAAAGTTACGTCAGTTCGGAGGTGAGCTTTTGTCGAATTGCGACCGCGCTCGCCGCACGGCGGCGAGACCCACAATGTTTTGTAAAGAAATAAAGACAAGAGTCCAAAATAATAAGTGCGAGCACTCTGAACAATGCCTTTTATTTTTGGGCACCATTAAAAAAAACAAAACAAAAAAAAAAAACAATGTTTGACAAGTTCAGGACCAAAGAAAACAAGCTGATTTCATTTCAAGCGTCGTTTCCCCTCGTCTTTGTTTGTATTTGGGCAGAAAAACGAAAACAAAAGGTCAAAAGTCAAAGTAGCACACATTTAACACTCGGCACACTTAAGGTAAGAATGCAAAGACCTTAGACCACGTGTGCGCACACAAACACACACATGAAGACATGCACACGCACGATCGCGAAAACGATTCAACTCAAAAGGCGTCACACAATCGGATTGTACATTTGATCACAAAAAAAAAAAAGCTTTGAAATTAAAAAAAAGCACATTCCCTCAAATCGTGGCCGATTATTTACTCAACCGGAGAGGTGATTCTTGGAAAGAAGCTTTTCAACTCACTCACTCCACTTTTTTGTTGAAAGCAATCGTCGGCATCTGATGACGACGGACGGCCTGCGTTGATTTGAACAACACAAGTCGGCGCGAGGTCGTCGTTTGAGGAAACTTGCTCAACATGAGGTGCGCATTTTTAAATTTTGCGGACATGATGAATCGGTCTTTGCATTCACATGGGAGAAAAAGGCGGGAAAATGGAGGCCGTGTTTTGTTGGCGATGACGACGACGATGATGATGATGACGATGTGCTTCTTTTTGCCACGAGTGTAAGGCACAGGCGCACTTCCTCCTCAAACAAAATGTGCAAGAAACAAGAAGGGGGTGACTGACCGCAGCTGTCGACCACATCGCAGTCCAAACAATCTCCACAAAACGAGCCCTCGGGAGCCGGGATGGTGGCACAAAGAAAAAAAAAAAAAATTGGGGACATTTTGGCACAAGAGATGTTGATTTCACAGTCAAGTCATGACATTTTTTTCCGTCGGAAATGTTGTTCGGAGCCAGCTCGAGTGTCGCCCGTAGCGTTTGTAATTCGCCGGAACATTCGGTGGGCACGCGGGATGAAAATTCCTCAGGCTTTCTGCCTTTCTTTTGACTTTGAATTCAAACTATTTATTTGTTTTGCGTCGGGATCAGGAAGATATCGGGGAGTTTGCCGCTTCCAATTTGGAGTGACCCACGCCGGCCAAGTAGGGATTCGTAATGCTGCAAATATATTGGACCAACGTGTCATGCTGTCATGCGGACTCTTTCAAAATTTCTGAGTGAGGCTTGCTGTGCCAGGACGAAGGGTCAAGAACTGAATTCAACTCATTCAAATCCAAATTTGAGACGTATTTGTCTCGGAGACCGGTTGGCGTCATGGAGGACTTCCACTCTTTCGATCGGAGTGCGCCTTTTGACGATCCGCCATCAGAGGATGTCTCATCCCATGAGGTGCTTTCACGTGGACTCGTTGAAAATCTCCGTGTGGTCTCAAGGTTTGACCATGTCAACAGGCTGGAGGAATTTCAACACTGAATTCACCTTCTTTACGCTGATGTGTGGGCCGGATGCTCCGTTGTCTCGGAGATCATCTCGTATCATGACAGGCTTTAATGTAGACACTTTCAAAATCGCGGGGTGCTCTCCACATTCTGCTGGACCACGTTGAACGGGAAATGAAGAATGAACCTTTTAGAGCCGGCCGCCATTTTGTCACAGTGCTCATCCAATGCCAGTGGGAGGTGGGGGGGGGGTGCTTTAATGCAAACTCTTTTGAGTTCTGCGTGCATTCGACGAGTTGCCATTTTGGAACCAAAATGAACGTCGCCAATTCATACTCCTCAGAAACCATCCGGCATCATGAAGTCCTCTCATGTGAAATCTTGGGAAATTTTCATCCGTCTCTCGAATTCTGAATTCCCCTCCATTTTTTTTTCCAGACACAAAACTTGACCCACTCTACTCGGGAGCATCTGGCGTCATGTGACGCTTTTGATGCGGGCTCTTTTGATTTCAAAGCGCTCTCGACGGTCTATCTTTTGGAGCAAGAATCTTTTTTCGCCTATTTCTGCCTGAGTGCGCATCCAGCATCGTGAAGTGCTTTAAGGCGGATGCTTTCGGTTTCTACCATTGAACCATGGAAACATTTTTTAAATCCGAAAATGTACGGAGAACATGAAAAACAACATTTGGGGCAGAGCTTTCCATGAGGGTGTCAGTCTCATACATTTGCCGAGTGGCTCATCTTCCTGTAAATCCTTCAACTCCACGCAAAAAAAAAAAAAAAAAAATTCCAACGAGAAGATGAGTGACGGGAGAGTCGTCGAATCAGCAGCGTCTCTCACCTTTCATAAAATTGTGTGCATGGCAGTTTTGGGTCACGCCATTTCAAAGCAATTATTCCTCTTCAATATTCCCAAAAGCGTGACTCCGTCCAGATCAGTGCACATTAAAATAAAAAAAAAAAGTCTCAGTTAGAATAGCGGATTAAATTCCCTTACGTAGAAAGTGACGGAATATCACATAATAAATACAGAAAGTTCCCCCCCCCACCACCGAATTTAGAAAAATACAGATCAGGGCCTCAAAGATCAGTCGGAGGGACTGTTCCACCTGAGACGCCGCGAGTCCGACGTCTCTCGTTAAGGTGGCGCTCGGTAGTCCTAGAGGCAGACGTTGTTGCTGATTTGGCAGGTGGAGCCGGTGCCGGCCTGGGAGAGGAAAAGTCTCCCGTTGGGGCAAACGCAAACCTCGTAGACCGTCTGCCTGGTGCCGGATGCCGAGGCGCCGGCCGACGCCTTCCCCTCCGGTAGGCGCATCAGGCGGATGCGGCGGGCGTCCAGGGAGATCTGGAGGACCAGACAGGGGGGGGGAAGAAGGCTGATGAGCTCCGACGAGCAAGTCAAAAATGGGGAAACGCTGCAGCGAGGCCATTTTGAACCTGAATTGCCCCGTTTTCATACTCAAAATTGAACCGGCCGCTTATTTGCCTCAGAATCATAAAGTGCTTTAATGTGGATGATTTCCACATTTCAGCGCTCACTTAACATTCTCGACTTCATTCTTCCTTCGTTTGGACAGCGTCTTCCCAACCAAAGTTTTTGGCAGACAGAATCGCGCTTCAAGTCGGGCTTTAATGCGGACTCTTTCAAAAAGGTGTGCTTTTGACTTTCTACCATTTCCGACAGGACATTTTGACACCGGGACGTCAGCCACCTGCCTACTTATCCCAGAGATCATCATGTTGTGCTTTAATGCGGACTCTTTCGATGACAGTGAGCTGTGGACGCTTTACCAAAATGATCAGAAAAGTTTGTTCTTTTAAGTCATTTCAAGCAGGTTACATCTTGCACATTGTTGCTGTTTATTGCCGAACTTTTTGGGGATACTTTCTGATGTCCAAATATGTGTGAGGCATTCGATTTGGATAAATGGCAGCTTGCGTGGACACAGAGGTACCCTTAAAGGAATGACCCCCCCCCCCCCCCAACCAAAAGACAATAATCCTTTGACACTCAGTTCAAATTTGACCTTGGCCACATTCTCCCTTTTGAAGCTGTTTTTCTTCTGCAGCGTTACCTCGGCCAACGTCTCCTTCGCTTCACCGCAAGTGCTTTCCAAGAACAGTCAGCCTCCGGCCGCCCCCGCTGATCACTTGCTTTTTATTGGCCTCCACAAAAGATGAGGCTGAATTATGTGACCGGCTCGCTCTCGAAAGACGCTGTTACGCGAACATGTTTTTCCAAGTTCATTTGAAACCAAAAGATTGTACCGTTGGAAAGAAGGTGCTTTTGAACAAACATTTTCTTCAATCGTAAATCTACAATTCATTTGGAAAAAAAAAAGGAAGAAGAGTCAAGAATAAATAAACTGCTGTATAGTGTGACACCTTTGTGATATTTTCAAAGCGTTCTGAATGGTGACAAAAATTCGGAAAACTCGTCGCTGTACACTGGAGATTTTTGTCAGGCCAAAACGGGTGATGCATATTTTGTAAACTGTCAAAGCACATTCATGACCAGTCGATACCTTTCAAAATGTCTCTGGCGAAAAACAACAAGAAAAAAGTTTGAAAATATATCGAAGGGATCGGCCCCCGAGAGAAAGCCTTAATGGGGCCTCGGCAAGACATTGCGTGCAAATCGAGTCCCATGTTTGCATCACATCCAGTTCTTCCCATTTCCCATTTCGACTCGCTCCAAGCCAACATCGATTGCGGATTCCCGTGAGACTCGCGCCTCGGCCGTGAGTGGAAGAAAAAAAAAAAAAAAAGACGACTCAAGGGTCTGCTCCCGTCGCCCATTAAAAGGCAAAACGCCACCTCGGAGCAGAGCCGGGTGACCCCCACCGACGCCTCAGAAATGTCGCGCGACCTCCTCTCCTGACAACCGGTCGGCCTCGAGAGAAGGAGTGTGGCGCAGGTCGCCGCGCGGGGTTGCGAGCCAATCAGTGAATGGCGGAAGGTCGTCATTCTGACAAAAGGCTTCCTGCAAAAGTGCCGCTAAAAGGGAGGCGCGCGATGCCACCGCCGTTCATGCCTTCGGATGCACTCCCGGGAGAAACAAAATCCCATTTTGTACAAGGTAATGGAAGCGGAAGGTGTTTTGTAATAAATTGGAAGCTAATGCATACAAATGGAGAGAGAGAGCAAGCCGGTTAACAACAACGCTGTTGCTCAAATGCTGCCCGCCACGATTTTCATTCACAATTAAAATCAATCCAAAGCAAAAAGCGTCGGGCCGGGCCGTCGACGTCGTCGCGAGCGTAGCGATAACCTTTGAACTAATGCGCTAACGACAAACATCGTGTCGTCTCACGGCTCTGTGCCCTGCGACCGGTCCGGGGTTCCTGTCACCAAAAGGTCAACCGTGCCCTGCGATTGCCTGGAGACCAGTCCAGGGAGGAACCCCCCCCCCACCCCCAAAAAAAGCCAAATGATTCCATTTCTTAATTTCCTTTTGTCCCTAATGTGTTGATGTTGAAAAATGCGCTAATGAAATACGACGTGTTACGCAATCGCCATTTATTTATTTATTTTTTTTTAAAGCGACTAATCACGAGTCCCAATCTTCCTTCCTCTTGCCTGACGTCCTCCCTGCGTCCTCTTTCTGTCTCTAACTCGGCGCTTCATGTACATTTTTCCCGCTCACTCATCTTCCACGCCGATCCGTTCCGCACATCAGCCGACGCTGATAAAAGGATTTCCCTGGCTGGCTCTGCGGCAGTGGCGTGGTGTCAGATCTGTTTCACATCAGCCGAGGAGGATTAATGCAGGGGGGGGGGGGGGGGGCAAAAAAAAAAAGTCTTTTCAAAAGTTAGTTGTATACATTAAGACCTGCTGCTGCAGATATGAACAAAGAGGAGGAAGGTGACCTTGACTTCACTCTGCCCGTTCCAGTCAGACGTACGGACTAAATACTGACTGGTGCGCCCGTTTTTCAGGTAAAAGCTGCCATGCTGCCCCCTACTGAACCGGCAAAAAGTTGATCATCGGACATATTGCTCGGGACTAAGGTGTCAAAACGATTTTCGTATGCTGGCGCCAGGTTGATTTTGAGAATAGCTGATTGAGACAGACAATGTCACCGTACTGACAGACATATATTCTTTATCCTCTGCAAAACCCTGCGAATACTCTTGCAGTTTCCCCGAGTCATTGACGCGACGGGTCGCTGGCATTGCCATTCATTTCAACGGAGAAAGACGGCTTGAGACAAATACCGCGGATGTATTTACATACTTGGCCGATAAAACCGATTCGGCTGCGAGCGTTACGTCTCCCTAATAGTTTGGCAAAAATATGTTCAGAACACGGTGTGGCACCTCTCCGTCTTTGGACTCCAGTCGCAGCTCGTTCCTACAGATGGCTTGGATGTCGCCGGCCTCGGCCAGGATCTGGATGCCTTTGGGGGCCTCCATGAGCAGGGAGCGGGTGGGTGATTCCAGCCTGGAAAACAAAACCCAATCACATGTCTGTCATCGCTCTGTCTTGTTTGGATGGAAAAGACAAAAGTCCACAGACTCCAGCAGAAAACCAATTTAGCGAAGCCCCCGAACGTAATCCGTGACCTGAGGCTGAGAACGCGCTTTTTTGATACAGGGCAGCATTTTTTGATACCTTCACAGTTTTGACATTTTGTTGTGCCCGATGCAGCAAGGCAGCCGCAGAACTTACAGGAATGCGTTAGCTGGTTGGAGGACCCGTGACTTGTGGCTGAGACAGAAATTTCGACAGTAATGACATTTCACCGTTCCCCATGCCTGATGTAGCAAAGCGGCCCCAGAAACCAACCCCGATCAACAGCATTCGTACTTTGATGGCTGTTCGAGCAGAGATCCATCCTCTTTCTTCTTCGGCTACTCCACCTCCCCTTCTTTCACCTTTAGCATTTTGCAGAGAGCTTGGCAATGCACGGGGGCCGCGGTTGTTCAGCGAGGTCCTTTGTCCGCTCGGCCGCGCTCACAAAAGCCAAACGAAAGCAATCAGCCGCACGACAGAGCGGCCCAGATTGCCATTTAACCTGCGATTTACTCCTGCGCTTATATATTTATAAGCTCAAAGTGTTACCAGCGCTGGCGTCGGCCTCGGCGGAGGACGCCACCAAGGACGGAGGATATCAGAACAAGCAAGAGAGGGAAAGGATGGAAGGAGGCGGCAAATTCTGATTATGTCAGAGGCGTCCAATCATTTCCGCTGTTTCTTTTCCCGCGTCCCTCTCAGGGTGCCGCATGAGCGTGCGGCATCCAAGGTTATTAACCTTTGATTCGAGTTGCAGATACAAAGTGTTGAAAGGATGATGAAAGCTTATCGATCGCTGAGGGGAAATGAGAGTGAAACAGCGAGAAAGCAAGGGGAACGTTTTCATGTACAAAGGAGCGCGGTCGCACATGCGTTACTCACAAAAGCTAGCGAGAATAAATGTCACCGTCAAAGTCGAAATTAATTTTGGCCCCTACACTTTTGACCGCGCGGGCTGTTCAATGTTTGAGTACATTTTGGACAACTTGCTGTTCCTTAACAAGGGGCTGAATGGCAAAAGTCACAACAGGTGTTTGGGCCATGAATCGACCGATAGATGAGAACTTTCCGCGAGGTGCATATTTCTGGACGTTTGATCCGAAACTCGTCGGTATTCACGGCGGTAGCTTACGACGCAATCAATTTCCTCTTGTTTTGCAAAGTGCCAGATTAAAGTCTCGCCCGTGTTTGCAACATTGCTGAACTCCGCTAATCGCTTTTTGTTGTTTTCTCTTTGGCGTGGGCTAGTAGCGTGAATGCTAATAGATGATGTTGACGTGAGTGCGGGGGTGACAGGAAGAGCACGGTTGCATCACACGGTGAGAGAGAGAGAAAGAGAGTGAGGAAAAGGAATTAAACTAAAAATCAAACGTGTGTGCGTGTGTGTGTGTGTGTTTAATTAATCATCAGAATTAACGTGACTTAGATGAGGGCAGAGGTTACGTGATGAGATTTTAATTTAGACAGCGGCGCAGAATGCTAATTAGTTTGCGTGTTTCATTAAGATCCATGAACAAAACGTCTTCGGGGAAGGCCTTTATTTGTAATCAGCAATGTTCGCACGATATTAATGCAGGTCAAAATAAAAATGACCACGATGAAGAAAAGTGGAGTCAGGGAAATAATGAGGCGGAAGTGAGAAGTGACAGCAGATGGTAACGGGTTGTGATCTGGGACTACTTAGCTTACACGCGGCACAAGGTGGTTGGAATGTGTGTGGAGTGTAACGAAATCGCAAAATTATCGGGGCATTCGGGAGCAAAATTTGCTCAGACCGAGGTTAACGGTGCACCAAAATGATGCCGTGTTATGATTTGGGGCTGCTTTGCTCCTCCCGGCACGGTGTCGTGAATCTATGTAAGGTACGGTGAAAACGGATTGGGTTCCACTTTAGAGGTTGGACCGTGTTGCAATTGTTCTGTAAAAGTGCACTCGACGACTTTGAAAGCTCCGTCGGGAGTTTCACTTTGAGCGTCCTTATGTTTTGTGGAGGGCTGCGGACAATAAATCGCCTGTCCATACGGCCGGACTCCAGGGACGATCATCATCACAGGTTGGATGGAGTATGTTCCCTTTGCCTCCCCGGCAGTGAGAGTCCATCAAAGTCCCTGCGACGCAAAACAAAACAGAATCCAAAAAAAAAAAAAAAAAAACCCTCCCTTCTTTGTTTTACTGCTTCTTAGCCGCCGCCCCGCTTGTCACTTTGCACCTTATTGCCTCATAAATATTGCCTTTTATCTTTCGCTGAAGATTGGCATCCATCAGCCATTTTCCTTTGGCACAAAGTCGTCGCCGTGATGCAAGGACACATGCCGACGGATGCGTCGCTTGGAAAACTGACAGCCCCGAGAGATATCGCCGTGTTTGTTTAATATGAGAGCCTCCCGAACGGGATCTCCTCATGTCGACTCGAGCCGTCGAGTCTGATATGAGGATGAATGGCAAGTCTCACAAAACATTTGCATTTACATTACTGAATGCGGACCGGCGATTGTTCAAATGTCTCCTATCGCTCATGTTCACTTTCATCTGCTTGCGTATGATTGGAGTCGGTCCCAGTTGACTTTTGATGAGAGAAGCGGGGTTCCTTTGAGACGAGCGGGCATTTGCGCTCATTTTCCTACTTATGGACCGAATGAACCATCCGTCTACTTCGCCCCGATGAGGCGGCTTTGCAACGTTCCCTATAACAGAGTGAAATCAGATTCAATAAGATCTTCGTCATCAAAAGTTCCTCTCACGCTGGCGTTTCTTGGATGGCAATAAAGCCCCCAAAAACTAAAAACCCTCCCGACTTTCATCTTTTGTCTCATGTCGGTCTTGTGCCTCCGACACTGGCGCGCTCGTTTTTTCCGTGCGCCAATCCTTTCCCCGCCCGGCGCCGCTCTTCATGTTCCAGCTCGTTTCCCTCCCGCCCGCTTTTCAAATTCACATCAAAAGCCTGACACGGATTGAAGCGCACCTTTTGTTATACAAAGTAGGAGCCACCCAAACAAGATGAGCCCGCCACACACGAGTTGCCTTTAGGAAAGACAGAAAGTGCTCCAAAAACTTTGATCCGAGCTTTCCGACAGGAAGACAGTTGACTTCCGGCAAGAGAAGCCGCTTATACCCTGGACTGGTTTCCGGTCAACTGCAGGCCACAGCTGACTACTTCATACCTGTGGACAATTTTGAGTCTTCAATTGGGATGTGCTGATGACAGATTTGACAAAGTCAAGGTTTCAAAAACCGCTCATATTGGCTGTCGCCGCTCATGAGCTCTTTTCTTTTTTGAGGGGACAGCAAAACTAGCACAATAGGACTGGACTCTGAAGTTAATTGGATCCAATTCCCTTTTTTTCCTACATCTTGAAAGAGAGGGGAGGGGTGAGCAGTTACGCATGGAGGAGGAGGAGGAGGGAGGCAGTAAGATGATGAAGACGCTGCAAACACAAATGCCTTTGTGCTCTGATTAATATGCATTGCCCTAAAATAATTATTTAAAAATATGGTGCCGGCGTGTACTCGTTAGCCCCAAGGACTACATGAATATTCCACGGGTCTGTTCAAAAAATAGCCCACCAGTGGAGTGACACAAGACAAGAGGAATGTCAACTTTTTTATTTATCTAAACTGAACACTGGACCCCAAAACGTTTTTTTGTTAATTGACCCAAATATTGACAAAAAAATGTTAACAAATTTTTTTCATTTCATCATTTTAGAGCAGTCATTTTAATACCAGCCCGTGCCGACTCAATCAACTTTAATCCAAAAGCATGCGTGCAGCGGACTTTTGGCGTGATTAGTCCTGTCCTCCGACGAACTTTCTTTAGGACCGCGAGCAACTGTCCTCAGATGCGTGACAGCGGCCTACGCATCGCGTGCCAGTCCGTTCGCAAACGTGCGACACGCCTGCCACCGCTCATTAAGGCGGACGTGCTCCATCTCACCTCAGGCGTGATCTCGTCGCATCGTCGACTGACGTTTGTGGGAATAAATAAGTGAGAGGTGGGACTTTTTCTTCCCACAATAACTCACCGCAGCTCCTTGAAGGGCTCGGCCCGGACGTGCGGCGTCTCCACCGACTTGCTGAACACGGCTCCCTGGGCGCCTGGAACAAAAGCAACAAAATAGTCATTTATTATTTATTCACCGCATCCCCCACAAAAAAAACAGTCCAGTCAGACATCACATGCTGTTAGCATTAGCATTTTAGCTCCGCAAGTTAGTGAGTGAATTTTGTAGTCTTCGGGTCATGTTTTTTTTTTTTTTTCCCCCGTGTGTCATTGATGAAGATCATTTTTTTTTAAAAACAATGTTCTTCTCCACCGCTTGCCTGCCTTGCACATGTACCGATTTGCTCGACTCGAAAAGTTGATAAAAATGGAAAAATAACCGAGATATCAACAAATCGATTCATTCATTCAATGCCAGCCATTTTAAACCCTCCGACGTGAAAAAAAAAACACCAAAGACGTCAAAATATCACACGATAGCACGCACCCACTCTCTCCACTCACAATGTTGCTCAAATGCAACCGCTAATTGTTATATAAACAATTCAAAGTAAGTGTCTCAGCGGTTTCATCTGTTTTTTTTTTTTAACTTTCCGCCTCTTTTCTTGCCGGCTTCCTAACCACCCACTCGCTCCACTTGCAAAGGTGATCAAAACGCAGAAATAATACATACAACAGTGCGGGGGTATTATAGTAATCAAACAGGTTCAACATTTCACACGTTCAAGTCTTTTGGGTCGCTAAAACTGTGTTGAGAATAAGGCAGGAAAAAAAAAAAATCAAACATTCGCGTAACAGCTTTTATGTTACGCCGCTCAACCTGTCAACCAAAAGTAGTGCTTTGTATTCAAAGTGGCGCTTTTTTTTTTTTCCCCGAGATGCAATAAAAGCAGCCCTTCTGCTTTGCATTCCAACAGATGGTTACGGAGTGAGTGAAACGTTCTCACCGCGCACGCGCGCTAACGATCATTTTTGTCACTTGCAAAGGACTTTCATCAGCGCGGCAATTCGCGTAAAAAGGCAACAAGTGTTGCATTTTTCGTAATGCGGATATTAAGCGCGCACGCGAGCGTGAAGAAACAGACGGTGGCGGCCGGCGGAAAAAAGAAAGGCACTTGTTAAAGCGGCGCTCACATTTTAAGTACCATTGTTGTTTTCCGAGGGAACAAAATGAACAAAAAGCTCGCTTTTGCTTCTGGATGTCTCCACGTGACATTTTTGAAGGCGGTATTGTGTTCACACTTGAGTTCAGGATGACGTAAGAATTTCTATAGCGCGTGTCATCTTCAGGGTTATAATAGTTTGGTAATTCTCCATTACAGGTACTTTAATTGCGAATTTTTATAAAAAAATTAAGTGTGATGTGATTAGTTTAGAGAGCAGGTTTATTTTTATGAGATTTTTTTGATGCTTTGTTTCATTGTAATTTTTATTAGTTTTAGTATTAGTTTTTTATTATATGTCACTAAGTATTGTGTAATAATGTAAAGTTACTCCCCCCCGCCCCCCCAAAAAAAATATCATCTTATCAGCATTAGCGCTGAGCTCGGACGTTGATGGCGGGTGTTTGCCCACATCTGTTATCAGGCATTATTGGCACGTTAACGGCGTCTAAATGTTTGGCCAGCGCTGTTTTCTTTTTTAAATTCTATCCTGCCGCATTGCCTGCTATTTTCCCCGTCGACAAAATTCCGCAGCCCATGAAGCGATTTCTTGATGACATGGTCGTGGCCGCGCGTTCGCGGGTAACGTGAGGAGAACGAATGAGGCTATTAAATATGAATGCATACGTGGGTGTGTGTGTGCGCGCGTGTGTTCATAGGGCAGCCAAACATCATCATTTGTGGCCCGAAGTAGCTCAGCAATGATGAAACGCAGTGTAGTGAAAAAGAAAAAAAAAACCCTACAGGAATAATTCCAGTGATTGCTGATGCAACGGTTATGCATGTAACAATAACCTCATTTGTACTCGCTGTAAACAATCACAGTGCAGCGCAACCTCTGACTAAACTATCAATTTCGTCGAGTACATACTCCAAAAAGACTGTATTGTTTTTGTGTTTTTTTTTAAAGAGTAAAATGTACTCTCTGTAACATTTGATGCGACGACTGGAATTTGGCATTAATGATGTCAAACTCAGTGCTTCCGTTAATATCAGTGTGGCATGAAAACAACAACAAAATAGCGCAAGGCTAATGTGACAAGGCTAACACCTAAGCTAAGCATCCTCACTTCCTTTATGGCAAATCAACGACACTCATCGCAATTAGCATTATTGCTAAAGTAGGTCAAGCAGTGGCTAACGATGCGACACTCTGACCAAAGGAAGCGCAAGAGGACAGTGAGTTCATGCTAGCTGCTAATGCTAACCGAAAGGTCGAGCAAGCCCGTTGATTGCTTGGAACTGATCAGCTTTTGTGGAAATGATGAGGACATCAAGTGCCGACCGCTCAAGCAATCACAAGGCGGCTCAGTCTTTGGCTAGCGGACGTCAAGGCTAGCGGACGTCATGTTTTGAAGTACTTTTCAGATTCATCCCCACTCAATTCTGGCGGTGGGAAATCAACTTCTACTTTGATGGAAGCTCCGTATTGACTCTTTGCACTCATCCCAGAGTTTGCTCGCTCTGCTTTGCGTGCGCCACACTTCTGAATAGTCTTCCCAGTTTTAGTATTGCAGTCAGCCCCCGGAGGTGAGGCCTCGAGACCTTTGCTAATAAATACCCAACACACTCTGCTGAGGGGGCTTTGCCACTTTGGGGCCTTAAACGTGCTTGGAAATATCACCGATTTTTTTCAAGCGTGGAGCCTTGTGAGATGCTTGGAAATACTCTCATGGAAATAATAAAAGAAAAAAAATACAAGAGTACAGATCAAAATAAAATAAAATAAAATAAAAGTCACATCTAAAAAAAAAATAAATAAATAATGCATTGCCAATGAACCGCTTGGATGGTTCAAGTCCAGATGGCTGAATCCAGGAAGTGGATCTATTTTGCTCATACATTGATAACCTGACCAACCATCTGTTCCCCCCAAAAATGTTCCTGTGGAAGACATTTCTCGCACCATTAAGATCACATCTCGCCACCTCAAAGCACCATCGCCCTGGCCGTCAAAACATTTCTTCATTCCGTCATCAGCGTCCACATTTGAGAGATGAAATATTGCAATCTGCTTGGGAACGGCATCTCTGTGTCCCCCCCCGGAATGCGGCTTCTCTTAACGGGTTGCCGCCATTAGCCAGAAGAAGTCGGGTCCTGCATGCCAAATTCTATTCCGGCGCCCCTCGAGCTGAAAAAGCTGCAGGTGGCCCAACGCAGGGGAAATTGGCAGCATCCATCTGGCCCTCGGCTCTACCCCCTTCCAATTACCATAGAGGGGAAAAAAAATGAAAAATTGACATCAATCTGTGACGGGAGCCACAGCATGGAAGGACGTATGGTCCCCAAAGTTCTCTCTAATCCTCACTCAGCACTTTTTGCAAAAAATCTGCTGTATGTGCAGATGAAATTTCCTCCCTCTTAAACAGACAACAAGAGGACAACCATATTTTCTATATCTATCTATCTATATATATATATATATACAGTATACGGTATATACACCGCAGTGTCCGCCAGGTTTCAGATATAATTATCAGACCTGAACACTTTTGATTGAAATCTCCTCATGCCATTAGCAATTGTGAGCAATGCAAAAGCGCGAAAAAAAAAAATGGAGGAAACTAATTCGGGCACAGGCGCAGATACTGAAGAGCGAGACGGCAGCATTTGTGACCCTTTGTGTTGACATTTGTGTATTTAAACGGCCGGCTCGATCAACTCTTCGACCGAGTCATCGCGCATCTTTTACGATGTATTTCAAAAGCAACACGCCGCTCCGTTTCAACGCCGGGCGGCGAGGGAACGAGGGCGATAATTATTTGGTCAACAGTCATTCGTTTGGGTGTAAGCAAAGCGCTTTTGATTTCAGATGACGCTCAAAAGCTTATTTCATCCATGAATGAGTTACCTTACAATGCAGTTCTTTAGAATTTATTTTTATGCAGCACTTGTGTCGATCTCATTAATGACTGCGGTCGTGTCAACATTGCCAGGAAAAATTAATTTGCTCGGAGTCACAAATACGACGACATTTGCTCGTGCGGTCATATTGTGAGCGCAGGCACAAATGAGGGCCAAGTGGTACATCTGGCGACAATTCGACGGCGCAGAGGTAAGCCGAGTTTGCATGAATCAGGTAAAATGCGCAGCAAACAAGCGTCGCTGAGCGAAAGCCTTCCTCAAACTTGATGCAGATGCTCTGCTGCGTATTGGATGTTGAATGTGTTCTTTTTTCTTATTTTTTTCGAGAGGAAAACCTTGGAGTGAACAAGCAACTTTGTTCGCCCAAAGGTATAGCAATTTATATAACACCTTACATGGAGGTTATATGAAGCAAAATTGACCTTCAAAAAGCTTTTATGCCAATTGTCTCTGGAGAGTGAAATCACAAAGAAAAGATGGAGTGAGATGCTCTTTCCCCAAAATGCGTCTGAGCGAGCGGTTTTGAATTTCCTCAATTGTGACGTCGGATTCATGCGGAAAATGTAAGGGCGGATGCACGACTACACTAAAAGACTGAGTGCAGTTTCCGGATGAAGTACTGCCCCCACGAGCGAAAATACAAATTGATTCAGTGAGCGAAACGAATCAGAGAAATTCCCTCACCCTCTGTCTCTGTGATTTTAAATGTAAAGCGACAATAAATCTGTCCTGTGGACCTGACACACCAGAGAAAACCACAGAAAATCGACTTAAAACATCCGATGGCTGGGATACATCTCAACGGGGCGCTCTTGAGCATCCACACGATGGCTTTTCTTCTTTTTTTGTTTTCCCCCCTCCCTGTGTGACGTGTGCACTCACAGCTGACAACGAGGCGCTCTAATGCGGCCTTGAACCTAAGTGGCAGTTTTCGAGGAACCGGCAAAAACCAACGCAAGGCATCCAGGGATGTCCCAACTGATATTCGAACCCGGATCTCTTGACTGCGAGGCAGATGTGCCAACCACGTCCGTGCTGCCCCATTTTTAGAATGTTTGGCGCTTCTC